CGCAAAAGTATTTGTTTAGGCTTTGAACAGACACTGAACTCATTACCAGTGTTTGACACCTCATTGGAATGAACATGAACATTGAACAGCTATCTTAATGTTAATTTATTCAATTTCGCACCTCTACCATTGGTATAAATTAGTTTACGTTTCGCACAAATCTTTTTTAACTTGAAAATGGTGCCAGGATGAGACCGAAACGTCGTTGCTCAGTTTTTTCGCTAATCTTTATTGTTAACAACAAAAAAGACTATGCAAAACAAGCATGCACTTTCCTGTCAATCAACTGACAAACCTCACAAATAAATGCGTGCAAATGCAGTGAATCAGACAAGTTGTTTTTCAGTATATCAGTTATTTATTTCCAGCCTAGGCTGATCTCAGATATCAACCTTAAGTTAACACATTTACAACCATATGAAAAAAAAAAAAAAAAAAAATTAAAAATTAAAAATAAAAATATAAGTTAAAAAATAACATAAATCCATTAGAAATCCTAATGTGAATCCAAAAACCCTATTTATGCAATTACAAGTCACAGAGTGTTATATCTTATTTCTTTAAACACAGATTAGCAACAATTTAATTCAACAGACAATTTGACAGGTCTTTGTCCCAGGTACAGACATAGACATTTTTCGGCAGAGAACAGTACAATTTTTCTGATCCTGGTACCTGGAAAACACTGAAACCTTGTTTACCTATAACACTTGACTGTGCCATTCTGTACAAGAAGGGTAACAAGTATAAAATGCACCATGTACATGTACCACAATTGTAATTAATAACTGTAGACAGTAATCCCAAACTAAAATGAACTGAATTAAACAGTTTCAAAAAGGACCAATTTATTGTTTTGTGGTTATTCAACATGGCCTTATGTCCATATGAGGATGAGTGTGTAGTTGAACAACAGCTTAAGTTATATATCACTGTTAGTACCTTGCTTCTACAGCATCTAGTGTGCATCCTGACTCTGAATCTAGAGAAGAAAGACAATCATTTTTAACACTAATGCTTAACCAGGGATAAAAAAAGAAAAAAAAAAATTGAATTCCAGCTTGCCTTTCGTACAAGGAGCTCTGAAATTTTGCATGCCCTCAGCAAGACTTCTTTCAGTTGTTTTATTACTTGTTTGACAGACAACTTGCCCGGGCCCTTGCCCAATTATTCAAGCAAATGAGAATGAAAGGTTACTTGCCTGGCAGGAAAATCTACTTGTCTCATAAGCTTGCACAGCAATTTTTTCGAGCCCTGTTAGCTTAATGGATCCAAGAGACAACTTCTCGTGAATCATCCCTTTACTCAACTAGCCTATAATCACACTTACTTTACATCTACTCAACAATAAGATGATGAGCTCAAGGTTTCTATCACACACAGAAATCAAGAGCGGATAATCTTATTGTTTTAGTATACATCTACTAATCGTTCAAAACTTTATCCAAATCCTCTTCAAAGACACTTAGAAAATGCACACAGCCAGCTGCCATTTTGTTAACATCCACACACTTCCAGGCTGCTCACTGCATGATCTACTTAACAATTACATGATGAGCCCAAGATTTCTATCCAATGCATAGAAATCGAGAGCAAACAATCTAATTGTTTTAGTATAAATCTACTAGTCGTTCAAAACTTTATCTAAATCCTCTTCACAGACACCTCGAAAATGCAAAGAAGCAGCCGTCATTTTGTTAACAGGCACAAACTGCTATGCTACTGACTATCTACAACAGTCTAATAGATAATGAATAGCATAGCCAAACAGAAAATGCCATTTGTGATAGAACGCTAGTAGATTTATACTACAACAGAATAGAGAGTGAGTAGCGTAGCCAATCAGAGAATAGCATTTGTCATAGAATGCTAGTAGATTTATACTAAAAATGTGTAATAATAGCTCAAAGTTAATAATAAAAATAACTTAAAATGTTGCACAGTTTACAAGAACTGAGCAACATTTTCATGTGAAACTTTTTTTTGAACATCTTGTTAACTGTGCTATGGAGTTGTTTTGGGCAGGGATGTGAAAGGGTCATAGAGTTTATCAATGCAATAAAAGCCATGATTCTAAAACTAACAAAAGAAAAAGTATGTCTTCCTTATTGTCAATAATGGAGTGTGATAAACCTTTCCTGAGCCTGTTTGTTGTTTTTGAATTCATACATGTATGCCCTAAAAGTGACTCTTGTTGATAGCTTGATCTACATAACACTACTTGTTTACTCAGCAAGAGCTCCTGTGTCAAATAATAATAAATACTCTCTGCTTCAATTAAATTGCCTTTCTTTTAATTACAGTATTATCATAACAATGGCATGTTTGGATAGTTTAGGAAAGACACTAGTTTGAAGTTTTTCTAATTCACAAGGATAGAATGCTAGTAAATTTATGTTGTTGAATACACACAACAGATCTTAACTGTTCTGAAATAGCCCTTACTCAAAGGACTGCTAAAAATAGTCTACAAACATTTTTTGTGCTCAATAATGTAAGAAAATCAGCTTAAGCTATATAGATGTCGACTGGTTGTCAAGAAGTGCTTGTCTGTCTTCACTAAGATTCCAAGAGATTACGAACCTTCCAATAGCTTGAGTTACCAATAACATTCCATTGTTTTATCAACACAATGCACAAAAGTGGTTTAATGAAAATGCATTTTAACCATATGGGGGATAAAATTTCTTAATTAGTACTTTTATCTTAAAACCATATTTTTTCTTTATTGCCTTTGCTAGTAGAATGCATTTTGTAGGGTTGTAGTTTATAATTAACCTTTAAAATCTAAGTTCAAAAAAAATACATGTATAAAAAAGACACTTGGAGATTGAACAACTAACATCCATTTCACATCTGGCAACTTAGCTTAAAAGCTTTTAGCTTAATTTGGTGGTTCTAAACAATTTTCTCTTAATTGTCTCCCAGGCAACAGAACTTAATAAAATACCATAGGCTAATCTAATCTATCGGGAATTACATTTGAGGTGATTTGCATTACTACAGCCAGCTTTTAGGCAATTTCAGATGTTTAGAATCACATGCAAATTTGGGAGAATTTTGGCGACAACTGTAAAAACACCTTTACGTTCTTACATTTCTGTAATCGATCAGTCGATTGCTTTCAGTTTCTAAATGTTTCCAGAATTAAATGTTGGCACAGTAGAAGCATTATCAACTTTAAAGTCACCGACTTGACAGTCGATTTGTGAAATCAAAATTAAAACGGCACGATCCATTTGCTTTCATTTTCAACTTCAAATTTAATTGTTTATCAATGCATTAGAAATGCACTAGCGATAAGAATCGACTGAAACAAGAAGATTATACGGTCGATAACACAAAGAGGAAAACAGTACTGCGTATGGATATTACAATTTTCATTGCATGCAAACGGGCACCAGAAGTGTAATATCGTCTAGTTCCCTAAAATAATTAAAACACTAATCAATCAACTGGTCGAGATAATTTTGATATCGTGGGGCTTTGATTGCATTTACGCCTCCAGGGTTTGCTGTTATCGATTTTCCACCACTTTCAATTTTCAGCTGATCGACTGATCTTCACAGAAACATTCGATGTGCGATAACAATTCGATGGCATTGTTTGTGTAGTGACAACACAATCTCGTTAATTTTACTTCAAAAATTTTCATATTGGCCTGTTTCGATACATTTTGGTATGAAACTCAATATTTTGAAAATTACATTAAAAGGCATATGTGGTTTCATAAAAGTGCTAAAAGACAGCTTTTGCTTGGATCTGCCAGCGCCGAATAGCAAATAAAGGCGCCAAATGTCCCTTCTACATTGTCATCACTGGATAAAATAAAACAAGAAAAAGTTCGCATTTAAAAAATCGCTTGCAAAAAACATGGCAGTGGGGGGCTTCTTGTAATAGCCTCTGGCAATACTAAAATACAGATTTTACGATTTACGTCACAACAACTATCAGCCTCTTTCCATTCTTTTTAACAGCCATAACAATTAAAACAGTTGGAAATAAAAAAAATTACCACAAAATCCGCAGCTTGCACAATTTGCGGCAACAACTTCCAGCTTGTAGCGTGTCTCTGGTGTATTTTCCTGAAGGGCTGGCGAAATGTTGACAAGATTTCCCCTTGTGTTGTAGAGCTTTAGAATGTCATATGGACCGGCTTCCGCCGCGCAGCGAAACAAATCTGTAAACACAAAGAAAACCCAAAACATTAAAGGTCAAATGGAGATTGAAATAATAGAAAGAAAGCACAAATGCGTTGCAGAGGGCTAAAGTTGCTACGATGTCGTAGTAGGCAAATGGTAAATGTGTCAAACTGAAAGAGGATCGCAGCCACAGAACATCACTATATAAGTAGTATTTCCTTCTACGATCATACAGTTATAGCTGTTATTATGAATAAAACTACCAGTTGAATAAAACAAAATCTGCATGAAAATAACGCCAGTAACACAGAGCGGTTCATAGAGGGCAACAAAAATGTACATGTAAACACAGTGACTGTACCTTTGATTTCGTCCGCGGGAAAATCGGACGAAAACTCTGCCTGCTCGGGCTTGCCTCCCACAGTAAAATAAACCATTTTTGTGGTCATTTTCTCCGAGGAAAGGTCATCGAGGAGATTACGCCTTCTAACACTACATTACATCTCTCTAAACGGGATAAACATGTGTAATACTCAATTGGAAGAGCATTAAACTGCTGCTCATCCCAGCCCCCAACTGACTGCCGTCGACTGCCGTCACTTCCTCTGATAACATCCGGGACACTGATACTGTTCACAGTCCGGTCAGCGGTAATTCCATCAACATACGGGAGCTTTCAAAACAGATTCTGTAGAAAAGCGATTCATATGGTCAGCTGATTCAGTATCATAACAAAGATGGCGGACTTTCACGAGAAAATAATTCGTGATTTGACACTCATTGGCTAGCTACCTTTTAATCTGTAACGAGACGCCTTTCTAAAATGCAAAAATGTGATGTTTCTTTTGGGATTATCGTCAACTTTAATTTATTCAAAGTTTTGAATAGGCAGCAATGTTTTCTGGATGGAAGAAAGGAGGGATCATAGGTAAGATAATTGTCATTATAGAATTTTTTCATTGTTACTTATCGACTGCATGAGAACACACGAGAATATCTGGCTCTAAAAAATAAAACTTTGTTATTGCTGGGATATTTGTAGTTACATGTATGTCATTTATGTTTGCGCCTCAGTTTTTAAAAAACACACTTAAATTAATTAACATGATAAGTTAAGCTTACATTTATTATTTCTAAGACCATTTATCTATGTGTTGTCTTTTTACTTTTTAAACTCTTTATTACTTTCAGAAACTGAGGATGACTTGATAAGAAATGCAGAAATTAAGAGAAGACTTATTAGTGAACTATCACTGGCAGTGAAAGAGGTATTTATGTTCAAGCTAACCGTGAACTCCAAACCATGCTGTACTGGAGGTACTTACCCAAGCTTAGGCATACAGAGACTGTAAATGCTTGCACAGTAGACAGTATTAGGAATTCATGTGATGACATCACTTCCATTTTGGTTGACATTAGCAGGGATTGGTTGCAAACCATGAATGGAACAGTTTTTAATCCAATAGGAACAGTGGATCATATGTTGAAAAAGTCTAATGACCAATCATCGGTTAACTGGATATTAGAGGAATTGTCTATAAATTGAAGCACCTCAGCAGTGACCCCACTTAATGGACAGACTGCTACCATTTTAAGATAAAACCACTACCTTGTGCTTATAAACATTTGTTTAGTTCAGAATTGAAGATATCAGCCTTCATATGCACCTGAATGCTTGTAGGATAAGCAACAAAGAAACTTTTTTCAGTCTTATAAGAGCAGACAAAACTCACTGAAAATTTATTTTAAAAAAATGGTTTACATGTATAAAAACTTTCAAAAGTTATACTCTTTGTCTGCCACATCTCAGGCTCTGGTAATTATACTCCACATTTCAATCTTTAAAAGAAATATAATATACTAAATGTGATCCCGGTGGGCAACGGTAATACTTAGTACAAAATAATTCAATAGCTAGTTTATTTTTGACAGCTTCAGAGAAAACACATTGGAGCAGACTTGGAAGTAGAAAGGTTGGTACTGAGATCACTTAAATTGTTAATAAAGTAATGTCTGTTTGGGATGGGCAAAGGTTATTTATACTGACTTAATCTTGGTTCAACAACTCCGTAAATAGTTCTAACTGAATCTATAAATTTCTTGCCAAATTTAAAACCCTCTGTTTACAGGAATGATGAGCATGCCTTGATGATCAGTACCTTATTGGAAGCCATTTTTCTTCATGGATTTCAGGAGCATGGTGTTAAGGTGATGACTTAATTAACAGTTTTCACTAGCCAATGCTCACTTCTCTCAAGTCAATTCTAAAGCACAGTTGGTTAGATGGTCAAGCCAGGCAGGCAAATTCATCCCCTCAGATGATCATTTTGCTGGGTGCCCGGCCTTTAGACCCCTGACGGTCATGTGAAATGTTGCTTGTGGATGTTATGTTCTTAGACAAATAATTGGTTTACTCAAAAGAAGCTTCCTTGGAACTGTATTTGTATGAAAGGTTACTCTACATAATGTAGTAAGGGCAANGCTAATGACGCCATAAATTATGCGCAGTAAGGATGCACAATGCAAATGTGAGGAATGACCTTAAATGCAAGCTCAAGACATTCAGACATCCTTTATAAAAAAAGCGCAAACAAACAAACAAATCTTCACTTCAAGACTTTCTTAGCCTCACCAAAAATTGAAACTGCAAGACAGCTTTGGTGAAAAATTGAGACTGCAAGATGCACATAACCGTAAAAAACGAGATTGCGAAGCCCATGAAATTCAGTGAAAGTCTTGTGAGAGCCATGGTTTTTGAAGGACAACTCACCACCCCTAGAATTCAGATAATTGAAAAAACTGGGAAAACTCATGTTCAGATATTGATGTTCTGCTGTATTTATATATTTAGATTCCACCAATAATGGAGCAGGATGAGATCCAGCCTGAGGTCCTCACAGATACATTAGCAGGCTTTGAAGTTCTCCCAAAGAGGGGCTCAGTTAGCTCTGCACATGGTGATGAACGTGCTGCCGAACTGATGTCAATTGTAACAGAAATAGCCACTGAAAAGGGGTTGGACAACCAAAACTACCAGTGTAAGGGATGTGGGAGAAATATAGGTTGGTGATTACAAATTTTATATTTTAGTACCTGAAAGGGGAGAGCTAAACCCTGTAGGGGGTGGGGTAGGGTTGGGGGGGGGGGTCTGCACTCCAGTATCAAAAAAGATGCAGGTTTTATGGGTTAAAAAAGTGGTTTTGGTACCTCTCAGGGTGTTCAGCCTCAAAAGGTCCACAGCAGGAGCTTTTACAGTACCTTTTAGGGTATCGAGTTAAAAAAAATATGACAGGAGATAATGAGTTGTTTTTATTAGAATTGGTATCTCTCAGGGATGAAAAAATTTCAAGCCACTGATAAGCACCCAGGGCTGTCCTTTTTCTATGGGATTCCCCCCAGGGGCTAAATGGAGTATAATTATTATTAATAATAATAATTATTATTATCTATCCTCGTAGGCCTGCAATGCATACAGAAAGCTTTATTATCTAGCTCTTTGCATGCATGGTAGGCTTATGATGATAGATAATAATTGTTTGTTGCTTTTTAATTTTATTGGTAATACTAACATTTTTTTCCTCATAGGAATGATCTATGGAGAATTCAAAGTTTGTACCTTTGACGCATGCTACTATTGTTTTGAATGTCATGAAAATGAGGAACATGTAATTCCTGGGCGAGTCATTCACAACTGGGACCTGAGGAAACACCAAGTTTCTAAACAGTGCAAGCTATTCTTACTACACATTGAAGAGGAACCATTGTTTAATATTGACGAGACAAATCCCACTCTTTATAATGTAATCAAGGAGCTGCATGAAGTTAAGGTAAGTGCAGAGTTTCTCTTAACTGTTACTTGCATTTTATTTTTAAAACTTTTCAGGGAAGATAAACTTGGTCATTCAAGTTCAGTCATGTTGCTTATTAATCATTAGTAAGAAACAATCAATTTTACCCAGCAGTGATATTTCCTACCTGCTTTATTCTCAGGTCCTAAGGTCGCAGTTACAGCATCTAAAAGGCTTTCTATTCACATGCAAAGATCCCATAGCAGAGGATGTTAGAAGGAGAATTTGGCCTCGAGAATATCTCTGGGATGATATTCACCAATATTCTTTGCTGGTCAGTAAGCATCTTTTTTACTGGTTTCAACTCTACAAACTCTGTCAAATTTACAAACAATAGACCTTATGCATGATGACATCAGACAAGCACATTTCACCACCAAGATTCGTAAAATGCAAACTCCCAAAGCAGCAAAGATGAAAAGAATACCCTTGTGAAAACAACACAAACTTAGGTACCTGAGGTTTGAGAAAATTTCTCCCAAACAACGCTTAGTGGTGAATTTTGAGTGTGTGATGTAATCACACATAAGACCTATTGTGCAGTGCTTACTATATAATTAACAATCTTTGATGATCTTTGTCTAACATTGTATAAATATATTGATAATTTTTTTCCTTGTGTTATAACTTCAGGATTTGATTCAGGTACAGTCAGGACAGTTGGCTCACCATCTCAAGAAAATAATTGCACATTGTACAAAACATGTCTACAAGTGCAAAGTAAGCAAATTACATGACTGTACATACTTGTTACCTATGGACCCGGTCTGGGCTTAAACCCACTGGTCATACAATGTATACAAGGCCAAAGCACCTGCTAGTGATAATAGTAAGGCTATGTTCACTCTTGGTGCCTGAGCATGTGTGGCATTCAGACACTGGTTACTACCCAGTTACCAATTAGGGCCCTAAGTACACGGTCGTGACCTTGTACTTGGGCACTACCACTGTGCACAAATTCTGGTGTAAGTACTTGGAAAAAGGTGTGTTCACATTAGTACACAGTGAGAATTGTACTCCGGTAGCAAGTGTGAACATAGTCTAAGAATGCTAGTCTCGAGTCTACAAATCATCTATTCACAATAATGCGATCAATTCTCCTTCCTTTCCTTTCTCTTAATTTGTCACAACATTTCCCCCTTATCATTACTAACGAACCATTAGGGATGCTTAGCAAATACTGGGGGAGGGGGTGTGTGGAAAACTTGAGATGGACTAACATCCCATCTAGGGGGAGTAGTGTTGGTAGCAATACTGCTATGTTCCAAGTGAGCTCATGATACAGAAACCAACATAAGCTCCAGTGAGGCTGTCAGACCAGTATTTGAAAACTCTTCAATTTGTCATTTAAGCTTTTTTGTTTTGTTTTCTTGCAGCTCTGTTGTCAAAAGGGATTCTTCTGTGAAATTTGCAATAACCCTAAGATCATTTACCCATTTGAAGTTAAAAACACCACACAGGTAAGAATTGTTTGAATCATAGGATTGTGCAGAAGGCCTGTTGTTAAAAATGAGTGTGAGTGTTAGGGATGGACCATCACTTGTTTTGGAAAGGGGTTGGAAGGGGGGGGGGGNGGTGGTGGTGGTGGACAATTTTGCAGAAAAATTCCTGCTCAGCCTAAATTGCTGAAAAACAAATTGTGTAAGGGGAGCCATGGGGCCAAAAATTCTATTGCACAAGCACAAGATTCATGCCCCAGAAAATTGCCCAACCCCCCTCAAAAAAATAATGGTCCATCCCTCACTAAATACAGTGGGTTTTCCTGTTAAATTCTAAAAGTAATTTAACAATACATAATTATTTGCTGAAGGCGATGTGGACATTGGTGAATATTTACTGAGATCGATTTTATTACTGGTAGTATAATTTTCAGAGGTGAAGATCAAAAATGGCAAAATAATGGACCCAAACTTGAAAAAACAGAATGATACAATATTATTTGTTTGCATACACCTATGCAGTCATAGTTTTAATAATTCATTGGTTGTGAATTAATTTATACATTTCTGCTTCTGAAAATTTCAGTGTGGGAAATGTAAGGCTGTATACCACAAGGCTTGCATTGCTGAAAGAAAATGTCCCAAGTGTATCAGAAGGAGAAAACAGCAATCTGCAAGGACAAAAACTGCATCTGTTCTGGAATTTGACTCTCCTTGGTAGCACAATAGCAAGTATAAGCTGGCTTTTTTGAACAGAAATCTGTGCACTAGAATCGACTTGGATGCTGCAACCCTCGAAGTGTTCTGATTTTGGTTCATTGTACAGACTAAAGCACATTCAAGTGGTTACAAAAGCTGTGCTAAAATAAGTTGACAAACATCTTCCTTTGTACACTTTTTGCATTTTTTTTGTTCCCTGAGGGAATAACATCTGAGATTGGATCCAGATAATTTCCTACTGATGATGAAGCAAAACACCTCATAAAACCCGTGACTAATAGCATATACTGTAATTTCAGGTGGTACTGTAAAATGAAAAATATTTTCCACACATAACATGCACAACAAAGATACAATATGACTTATCTGGCTTTGTACAGTCTTACTCACTGTACCTGAACAGTTAAAAAAGAAAGATTTCATATAGTGTTTTAAAATCATAGAGGCATTGAAGTTTGTACATGTAGTTATTTTAATATAAAAGGAAAAGCATCTCTTGAATAAAGTTACCATCATGATGAAGTAATGCGTTGTCTACTAAACTAATTTTGTGTAATATAAAGTCGACATTATTTTACACAGCGTACATGTACATGTATACAAGAGCAGTGGGCTTTTTTGGCCTGTCCAATTAACTTTTGTATATTGTAAAATTGTTTTCTTCAGAGATTACAGGCATTTGATCAATCCTGTGATAAATTGTTTGTTCTGCCATGTAATTCATAAGGCAGTTCTGACAGCTTTGAAGCAACATGTGTACATGGAGACACTTCGATGCATTGCTTTTGTGAAATAACAATTAGTATGAGATTAAACCTGGGAACTTTAAAGGTCGTTATGACATCAACTGTGTTTCACAAGGACATGCCATGTCACTTAATTAACTCTTTCCCTTCTAGAGTCATGTTCCAAATGTTAAGTCTCTGGATGAAATGCTAGTCAGCCATTCCAATGATGATTTGCACTTGAGCACTCTCAGCCTGGGGGAAAGAGTTAAAAGCAGTAATCATATTGGTTTATTCTGCAGCTTCAGTCCCCTGTTTCAGGATCGATGCCAAGAAACGATAATCTTTCTTCCTATCAGAAAATTCTGATTTTGCTTCATCAAAGGCTGTTACTGGTTTTTCCTCTGGAACTTCGTCAAATGGCCATACTTCTTTTTCCAAGATTTTCAACACTCTTTCCTGAAAAAAAAAAAGAAAAAAAAAAAAAAAACTTTGCGTGTCATTCTTTGATTCTGAACCTAACTGCTTCAAACTTGGACAACAGTGTTAAATCATAGGGTAACCTGTGATCACACGTTTTTTTTTNTTTGTTGGAAAAGGTCACGAAACTTGATTGGTACCATGTGTCGTTTGTCTCTGTTTCTGTTTCATTGAGATATCTTGATTGTGTTCTGTATAATTTAGATGCTACAATAATAATTTTTTAAAAATAAAATGTTGCAAACCCCCCCCCCCCCCCCCCCAAAGAAAAAAGGCCACCTGATCCCAGGTTAACCATGGCATCTCACTCTCTCACTCTACTCTATGAAAAGCAATGCAAACATGTTGCAGATCAGTCACAACCTTTGCCCTAATCAATGTTTTTTGGGACGAATGAGTTATTAGAAATGTGTCTGATGTACAAAATGTTCACGGCAACAATGAAGGTGCGAGTAATACAATAATATCATTTTATTTTATGGCATTTGTTATGCATAGGGAGAAGTTCTGTGTTGAAATCAGCAGTCTGTCAAGTACACGGTAACTTTCAATTTCTCTAACAGTTTTCATTGAAAATGTACCTCATTCATGCACTGCTTACCCGTTCTCCGAGCACCTGTTTAATTGATGCCATTGACTTCTGCACCTGAATACAAAGTTAGATAAAAATGCAATGCCTTAGCATATGAATAATCAGAGAAAAACAAAAATTCCAAAGTTAATATTAAATTCCCAACAAAATATAAAACTGAACAAAATGGAAAAGTATGAATATGACAAATGACCATCCATCTGCTGGGGACAAAGTAAGAAATAATGTGCCCATGAAACAAGTTTTCTGATATCACGATGCTTCCCATGACATGAATGCTTACTTTTCAAATAAGCATTTCAAGAGAGCATTTTATGATATCACAATGCTTCCCATGACATGCTGAATGCTTACTTTTCATGAGAGCTATTGATTGTTACCTTATAACATCTTTGAGGTGAGGGCATGGGCACACCCTGTCTCTTCGCCTCATGCCGTAATGTGTTTAGCATGTTTCTTTCCTTTAAAAGCACATACCTAAAAGATAACATTTTGTACATAAACAAGACTGAAGCTTAATATAATTCATCACAAATGGCAGTTGACTCCAGATTGAGTGTTTGGTAAGGAATCCAGCCTTGCCCGATCCCTTGAATTATGTCCTTGAGAAAGGTTCTATCAAGTTACTGGTTGGGACATGGGTGGGGGTAGCAACACAGTGATGCTTCAATCTATTTTGTACTTCTCTAATCTTTTGGCCTGTTTTGGATTTGAGCTGATATTTGAAAGACCCAGCATTGAAATTTATTTTCAATAAATAAAGTAGGATACATGTAACACTGCTATTTTACAGCATTTTGATAACAAAGAGTCAATATCAAACCACAAAAGGCCAGAGTTCTCAACTAAATAATGTCTTACCATAGTTTGTGAAGATCTTCATTGCTTTTGCCCCTCAGTTCATTTGCACGCCATTTTCTACCTACAAATAAAATATCATTTGATGAATTATCAGTGTAAAGTTACCACCAAAAGGGAATTCTTAGGGGATGAGGAGTACTAAGCTAAAATTATGTTGAAAAAAAAGTTTGAAGCTCGATTGGAATTTCAGTAAGGGGGGGGGAGGGTTCTAAACAGAAAACACGGCAAGGGGAGGGTGGTATAAATATTTTTCTGTAACATCAAATTACATGTACAGTATGTATGTGCGTGATTTTAGTTCAAGTAGTAATAGCAGAGCTCTGTCCCGAAGGGCCACCAAGCGGAGCCCCATACCCATATAGGAAAGAAAAGGAAAGAAACCCATGAATTGATTTTCTTGTGGTTTTCATGGCTAGTGGTATTGCTCGTGGCCGTGTACGCACAACAGCAACAGCGACAACAGTGATGACGGAGTCACACAAGATGGCGGCCATGCTCCAGCTAATAGGTTGTTCAGACCAGGTTATTTAGAAGCTGACCCAGAATTGAAATTAACTGAAGTATTAATTTTTATTGTTTACAAATGTTTTTCACTGCTTTTGTTTTGCGTAGTTTGAGATAATTCAAACTAAAAACAGAAGGCTGAACAATATACAGGAAACCTCACCGTAACGCGACAAAACTCAACACAAAATTCTCGCTTATCGATCCTGGATCAGCTTAATTGGGCCTCGAACAACCCGGCTTGGCTAAATCTATATATTATCATTTACTGTAACTTCTAGTTTGTCCCGTAAGACATGTCAATGAGGTGGCTACTAACACATTTCATAAGGAGAACAGTACCTGTTTTCACCGATTCTGGTGCCAGTTCTCCTTTCTCAATAACTCCTGGTGGAAAGAACTCTTCCATGCCACAAACTAATTGACTCGTCCTTAGGCAGCGAACACAAGACCTACGTGTATATGCGGAAATTCAGCAAGATTATGTTGATTTTACGGCTTAAAAACCAAGATGGATGTTTCAAATACTAGTATTCTTATACCTGACTTGTGATTCTGCTGAAATAAACGGTCGAAATGCGTAACATCGAAATTTGTGCAAAACGACCGCCATATTGATTTTTATGTGCTGAAGCTGTATCCGCTGACATATTGCTGGCGTCTCCGGCCCCAGATCGCTCTCTTGCTCGCAATGTTAGTTGGTCGCGCGCGTGAAAAATATATATACATATATCCAGACACCTTTTTTTAACATATTCACTGTCGAGGCGCAAGTTGAATCAATAAGTCCTAAACGTTTTGGTCTCCGTAGATGAGAATTGAGAAATCGCTGAATATAAGAACACTACTGTTTTCCCTCTCGACTGTAGGAAAAAAACAAAACAAAACAAAAACAAACGAAGGAAGAAAGAAAAAAATTCCAGAGTTTCATTCATGATTTCTTGAGATCTTAATTTCTCGGCGATGTAGCGAGACTTCTAGATAAGAGGCACAGGAATGGAGGAGATTTTAAGCCAAGAACGAATCTAATAGTCCATAGCGATACAACCCGACATGACCAACCACAGATTACCATAAGTAATTTAATTGCCACTTTCACATTCACAGCACTTGTTTATCATTCTAAAGCCTGTTTACTTTACACTGTGGCGTGCCTTCATAAAAGCCGATATATACCTAAATTTATTTCTGCCTTCGCTAATTTTCTGTCAAGTGATAATGATCGAAGAAAGAACTCACTTTCCACATTCTCTCAAGAGACTTCATTAGACTCGGCAAAACAGCATTGACGTAATGGTCGCGAGACAAACAACTTGGTGGGTGCTTTGTAAAGAATTCAAAAGAAAACGAAAGCTTTACTTTTTATTTGTCAGCCAGCGCTGTTTAGCGGATTAAAAGTTGGAAAGAGCATGCATTATTTAGTAACGACATTGACAATGAGTAAATTGCGTTCACAGTCGAAACTGAGAAAACATAAACAAAACCTCTGCTGTAATTAGATTTTATCTTGAAGCGTTAGGGAGAGAGATAGCCAAGCATACCAGGCAATGCGACTGTATGTTAATTTCCTTTCATCTTAGCACAAAAGGTGATACTTTACATCAGCATATTGCTTCTCTGTTACGTAAATTAGAAATCACTTCAGCTTTCAAAATACCTGGTGTACATTACGCTGTCGAGAGAGACTTTGAAGCTTTCAAAGGCATTGTATGAAATGCCAAGGTAGTGAAATAATCTAGTGAAATGTTTACACACTTCAGAAGTACCGTCTGTTGGCATTTGTAGGCTACAAACGAGACAGAAAAATCAACGAAGGGATTACAAGACTTTTCAGAGATATGAAATTGACTATCGGAGTTCACCGGAGCAGCTGATTTCAAGGACATTTGTGTTATGGAAGGAAAAAAAGATCAACAACTCGCCAAGAAGGTACGCTTTGATCTGAACGAAGAGGTTTTTCTTATTCCAAGCAAATGGGATCGCCTCAGCAAATGCAAGACTACCAATGCGAGAATTATTGACAGAATGGCGAGTAAAAGTCGAACCATCGTGGATCGTCGAATTGATATTAAGCGGGGTAAACAAAACAGAAACAGGAAAACGCAAGACGTCTTTGCCGCCGGCAAACCTTATTCAAATCCTGAACCAAATGGAAGGTTTTCCGAAAACAACCGGCCGAATTCTACGCCCGATATAAAGAGTAACAACGCCAGGAAGACTGTGCGGCATAAAGAAGGTAACGAAAACACTAACAGCGGAAACTCAACATCTCCGGTTGAAGGGAGACTAAAGCTGTATCACCGTCCCCCTCAAGAATTGCCAAAGCTGGACCTAGTGTTGCCTAAGGTACCTTACACGCCTGATCTTAAGAACGCGATCGAGAAAGCGCTTCAGAGGTCTCGAAGCAGGCCTACCCTGGACATTGGACCGTTGGCTACACAAGAAAAGAACCCAGAACTTTCAACCTCTCATCCCAAAGATAAAACTGAGAAAATGTTTCAAAGAAGGCTTTCGGACAGTTCTATTAGAATAGGGGATGAAAAACCGATGGAAAGAAAGCAAAACCAGGTCGGGGAAGCCAGCTCTAAATTCAGCGATCTTTCCTCTAATATTGATGGTTGGAGCCCATTTTCAGCATGGAGCTCCAAAGACAGCACTAATTTGCGTTCAGATTCGACAGCACCTCTAACAAGAGGGAGATCTATGTCTTCCCTAATACCAAGTAGTATTCTATATTAACGTTAGTTAAAACGGCAGTTTACTGAAGTAACATTGAGTGCTTCGAGCATTTTGTACATATTATGATGATAAAAGAGCATTTGTTCTCTTTGTTATGTACTCAGTAAGCCAGGACATGGCGGGTTTGTGAACCTCATGGAAATTGTCTTCATTGTTTATATTGCACGAAAAGTATTTCAAAATCATTTTGATGTAACAACAGTGCCAAGCAAAGTTACACGATAGTTTAAACAGAAAGAAAAGTTAAAAAAGTTTAGTGATCCATCTAAAGCGTTACCTGGCAAAGTTTGAGAAGCCAGCTCGCTATACAGCGATGTTAAGGTAAAAATAGAATAATAGTCGTTTAATTTTTCAAATTTTAGAAGAGCAGAGGTGTTTAATCACATGATTATAGTTATTTACTTTAAACCAAATTGTTGGCAACACACCGCCATCCTTACTATATAGCGATGGATATGGCAATCGTTGTCGTTGTTGTTTTTCTTGTTGTTGTTATCGAGCTCGAGGTCCTCATCATTATCATTATCACCATGGCATTTTTACACTTTTCAATGACTTAAATTTTTCTTCGATAAAAATGAGATGTGGCAAGAGAAGACTAACTTTATGTTGGTTTGTATAATCGTGAAATGAAATGTTTGTTCAAATCGAAGATTTATTTTGAAATTCACTAGTTTAAATAATAGATAATTTTCTTCTGATCTACAACGAAATAGTGGTTAATGTTGTCGATCATCATAAAAGATGAAAAATTGTAAGGAAAAATTTAATGCAAATGATCATGAAGTTGACTTTTTCTGAGTAAAACAAATGTCCCAAGGTGTAAAAGGAAACTATCTACAAATAAAGAACGAAAAAATCACTGTAATCGATCGTCGCTATAGTGTCTCTGCCCGAGGCCGCGTGGGTATGGAGACAAAGAACTGTCGATCCGAGCCCACGGTTTCATCACGACGTTGCTAAGTGACCTGAGACACTTGACGTCAGAAGATGACGTATCTTTTCCGGGATCAGTTCACGCGAGAACTTTCTGTCTTGCTCTGCGCGCTTGTCTTTTAGTTGGGATAATGTAAAAGCAATTACGTCTACGTGGATTAGCTTATGCTGGGCCACTCGTATATTTTCTTTGCGCGCTTAATTCGGTTGTTGCGCGCCGAATTGGGAAGAACAGAAACATTGAACTGAAGAGGTTTTCCAGTCCTAGAATTACAAGAGTAATTTTCACCTGGTTCCTATAAATGACACTGTCAGAACACAGAGAATTTAAGATTTCGTGTAGTTCCTACTGCAACTGGAAATTTAGTAACAAGCAATTTTCCTCTACTCCCTGGAAAGCCAGGGGACTGGTGAAGAACAGACAACTACTACTCAGTCTGAGAAAATATCCAGGCGGATACTCCATCTTACGATCGTAATATTAGGCAGATCAGCGAATATTTTAATTCATCGCCACATTTCCAGGAGAGGTAAGTGAATAAAAGCTCAATTATCAGCCGCTCTTCAGGAAAAGAACCCGCGCTCAGATTGCACTTGAAAGATAGTCTGAAATCTATAGGCCTATAGTAAATAGTAAAACCTAGAACGGAAATGAAAGGTTACTTGAGGGTCTTAATTAAAGGGTCTTAAATAGACGACTATACAATAGACGACTCCACGAAGCAAAATATTGACGCAGGTAAGGTTTTTGCTGCCACCATTTCGCGAGGTACAGTTCGCAAGAATTACACGACAAATAAAATTACTCTTGGAGAAGACTATATCGGGAATGCGATGAGACTGGGTCCCACCGCCTTTCCAATCACACCACCGATTCCGTTCAGTGAATTTCCGGCTAGAAATGCCAAGAGACCCTGCAAGAGTTTGGACCCAAAGCAGTTTGGCGTTTGGAGAAGCAAGCTGTAAAATTTTGCCAGGAAGCTGAGGAGTTGATTCGTCAGGTGTCAGAAAATAGCGTCCATATTCAATCGAAAATAACAGAACGGCCAGATACTTTTCTTCTTGGCGGAAATCATGGACCCGTTTCTTCCAAGGACTTCAAGAGCTTCGGAGAACCCTGGAACATGCCAGATGTTAAATCCCTCGGAAAACCGGTTAGTAAAGACGTATATAACACCAAACCGGTTACAAGATTTCCGTATCTGAACCACAAGACAAAACCACAAACCAACGTAGGATTGAGCTTACCCTCTTTCTCAGAACTTTCCTTACCCCAGCTCCTGTTGTCTGACGGGAACGGAACGCAGAGTCCAACTGCAAGGGCTGATGGGAAAGGAGAAACTACAGACAAAACTGCGAGTAAACTCGCGCGAGTAAAACGGGAAGAGGGCACCAATGGGAGACTTCTCTTCCATTACTCGTACGGATCAGCAAAGAAACTACCTTTGAATTAAGCTGAACAGCATTTGTCCGCGGTAGAGTTAAGGTCTTGGAAAAGGGCTAAATAAATGCTATAAATAGCATCAATTTAGTTAGCAGTCATTTTTCCTTAAAAAAGTGACATTACATTTCGGAAATACGAGTTTATACCATATGTAACTACTTCAAATCCAATCAATTTTTTGGCCTAAGAATGTACCGTGAAAGGATAAGTTATGTTGCTAACTGAAACCCCTTGATTAATAATCGTGTCTTAAGAACTTCACGAGATGTTTCACACGCAAGTAATTCAAGTCCAGTCAAAATTGGCATTAAGAGTGTCTCCTTAAAGAATACATCATGTTGCTGCATGTAATTAAGCTGCATCCTTGACCCGACATCCCGGTCTGAGTCAAATCCGCACGTATATGTATTTATACACGGCTCGTGTTGACAAACCCCACAAGTGGTTGCTTATTACATGATAAATGTCTTATATTCGGTTGAGCGGGGCAGCGAATTAGAATATAAGAAGCGCTCTTTGCATATACCAGGTAGTGAAAGGGAGAAAATTTTTTGTATGTTTTTCTAGTATTAAATCAAGAAAGATTCACGGAGACACATGTTGCGTACGTTAAGAGGTGTGACAATAAAAGAAGTTTACATTCATTCCAAGTTTTTTCTTGATATTACATTTTTTCAGAGTAAGTGTCATCTCCACTGACTTCTCATCTATCCGCACAGTTCTTCTTGCAGGTAGGAGACTGTTACTGCGTGCGCGGCTCATCGTGTGTTGATGTACAAGCGGATTCTCAAATAGTGTCGCAAGACCAAAACCAAATCAATTACTTACCAATTAGACTACTCAGCCAAACTCAGACCATAGTAAAACCAAAACCAAAGTAATTCCCTTTTTACTTTCGGCCCTCAATAGAAAACCGCTCCGATGGCCAATAATTGGCCAAAAAACAATTATTGTTTCCTTTTCTAACTAAAGTGAGAAGCGTCAATGTGTGGGCATGCATGAAGTAAGATTGAAGACTACAATAACTTTCCCCGCGACAGTAGTGTTTTAGTTCCAGATGGCTGCGTCTACAGTCTTCCCTCGCCCAGTTTCGGACGATTCTGCACGGCGGTAACACTAACAGGCCAATCAGAAAAACATATTTATGTACTTTTACCGTTTACGTTAACCATCGGCGAACTACTTGTAATAGTTTATTTTAATCATTTTGAACTTGACGACTCCGAAACATCGTTCCATTTTTATCGCTTATTTTTGCCAGTTTATGAGTTACCAAACCTTTGTTTTACACGAATTGAATTTGCAACAATTTCAAATCAGGTGCAGGGAAAACATAACGCATTTTGCAAATGCATCAATCACAAAGAATTCTTGTCTTTATCCTTAACATTGTCTTTCTAACAAGGAACACTATGCAAAATTCACAAAAGAATTTTTATCAATGCAATTTCATCAAGCAATGTTCGCCTCTAGGATTTCCTGATTTAAATAAAGGTGTCCTTTCCCACGGTTTCTAGCTCCAAGTGGGTGGTCTGTTGTTGTTAAAATATCTACTGTCGGGGAAAATAGAGCGTCAAACAGTGCCCGCGTCGGATAGAGCTTTTATGAACCGCTTCGACGAATATCGATCTCCTCTTTGCAAGATTTTGGGCGGGCTTTTACTGAAATTTTGATTTTTGGATTCTGGACAATGGACCGCTGGACGACGGACGATGGATTATTTTATCGTCACATAATACAACT